GCACAACAGCCCGGTATTGATTATTTTGAAACATTTGCTCTAGTAGCATGGTTAGATACTATTGGAGCTCTCATTACACTTTCTGCCCACAAAGGTTGGTTGTTATGGTAACTTGATGTCAAATCAGCTTTCTTGAATGGAGAATTAAAAGATGTATATGTAGAACAATTACAAGGCTTTGTGATTCAAGGCAAAAAAGAAAAGGTGTACAAGTTGAAGAAGGCTCTATATGGGTTAAAACAAGCACCAAGAGCATGGTATAACCAAATTGAAGCCTACTTTGTTGAGAAAGGGTTCATGAAATGTAAGAGTGAACCAACTTTGTATGTGAAGAAACAAGGTATGGATGATGTTCTCATTGTTGCTCTTTATGTTAATGACTTGGTTTTTACCGGAAACAATATGGAAATGATTGAAGATTTCAAAAATGAAATGGTGAAGAGGAGGATGTGCTGATGACATGAAGAGCACATCTGGTTATTATTTTTCCTTTGGTAGTGGTGTGTTTTCTTGGTGCTCAAAGAAGCAAAAAATAGTGGCTCAATCTTCAGTAGAAGTAGAGTATATTTCAGCATCAATGGCAGCATCTCAAACAATTTGGCTTAGGAGGATTGTGGAAGATGTTAATGAGAAGCAAGAGAATGCTACGGTGATTCGTTGTGACAACAAATCTTCCATTGCTATGTCAAAGAACCCATGTTATCATAGCAGAACCAAGCACATTGCTCTCAAACATCACTTCATTCGAGATGCCATTGAAGATGGAGAAATTGAATTAATATATTGCAGGACCCAAGAGCAATTGGCTGATATTTTTGTCACGCCATTGGCAAGAGAGAAGTTTGAAGAATTAAGAGAAGCATTAGGAGTCCAATAACAATACATTAAGGGGGAGAATGTTACAACTAATATTCTAGAAAGTTAAATATTTTGTATTTATTTTATCTTTTCATGTAGTAGGTAAAAAGTAATTTTAATTGGGTCTTTTCCTACTAAATCTAGGTTAGTTGAAAGGTGTACTTGAAGAAACTTCTTACTTGGCTTGCTGAAGAAGCTATTCTTGTATGACTCTAACCGAGGAGAAACCAGAATATGTATGAAGTGTTTACAGCCCTTCTCTTGTTCTGTATTTTACTTCAATCTGCTGCATGTAAGTTCTCTGTTTTCTCCACTTTGCATGACCCATAGTTAGCTGAAACTACAGCCAAATCCCAACATATTTGATGCATAGCAAATAGGGGTTATTACAAATTTTGAGAAGTTAAGTTTATGGAAATATTTTCAAAAATACATAGAAAGAAATCCAAATGAATAGGACACTCTTAAAGGATGTTAAGCAACCATCAACCAATCATGTATCATAATAAATGCTTAAAGCAACTAGCATGAATGTACCAAATCAAAGAAAGTTGAATGCTGATACGTGCTTCCTGATTGCCAAGTGGTATTTAGGGCAATTTGATGAATTATTTGGGGTTAAATGTTGGGATGTTTTTTTGTGAATTTTGGTTTCTGTAGGTTATCAAATTATAGTTTTTTTTTTTATGTTTCTTTGGGTTGTTGGGATGTTTCTGTGAATTTTGGTTTCTTTTTTTAATTGGCTATTGTGGCTTCTTAGTTGGCTCATCTTGGGGAGCATGGCTTGGTGGATGTATATCAAGAATTTKTGTATTGTGACATGGGGTGTTAAATAGACCAAAACTGTGAAGTTCAGTCCCATTTTTGAGGGCTTAAGTTTTGGTTGAGCCACTGAAATGTGGCTTTGAAGAATCTAACTTTTTTACATGATTGATGAGCCTTAGACTTCTGGAGTCTCAAATAATCTAACTTTTCAACGATCTGGATCACATGAGAAATCCATCATACTTGATTGGAAAACCTATTTTTAGAATGTCTTCTATTGTGGCACATGGAAATGTGATTCTACAGAAGGGGTGGTTTAGGAAGTTGAAGTTTGGCATGAAGTTTGGCATTCAAAGCAACATAATCCACAGACATACTGATTAAATTAGCAATCCATAGAGATACTGTTAAAATATTTTCCAACACACTGTTAGAAAATATTCTTCAATGCCTTTTATCCCWCACCAAACAAAAGATCATTGATGACACTTTATTCCTCAAGAATGACTTCTAGAGGAACTTGTTAATAATTTTTCACTCCATTGAGAATCATAAGGAATGATCAATCTGCAATTTTTCACTTAACCTGMAACTCCACACACTCCAACTCTCAATCAAATAAATGTCTTCTAAATTTAGGGAACCTGACCACAACACCATTACTAACCTCAGCAGTGRTAAATAGGCACTCCCTTCTTAGATAAATTATACAATCTTGAAAGAGTTACCGAGTTCTATATTAGTCCATCTTTCTGATCCTGCTTGGATATCATTCAATTGATCACTAAATATGGTACAAAAGCAGCTAAGATAAAACAATAATAGATAGACTGAAATTGGCAAAGCTAATAGGAAGCAACTGATTTAAATTTCTGAACCTCCATAAGGGACACGTGCTCTGTGCATGTGTATAAGACTGTAAGGAGCAAATTTGCTAGTGAGGTCATTTACTGAAGAAATTGAAAGGAACCTAGAAATCCTCCAAGATTATCTAGTCTTGTCATTTACTTGAGAACTTTCCCTCAACTTTTTTTCCTCTTATTTTCTGTCAAACCAAACACAACTTTAAGGCCATCCAAATTTGATCCATATAAGGCCCATTCCAATCCAATCTGATATAATGATGGCTTGTATATTTACTAGTTTATTTATTCATGATATAAGATTCCAAAGTCATTTCTAGTTTATTTATTAATAATATAAAATATTTTGATCATTTTATTTTAATTAGTTAATGGTATATACTATTCCACTTTGCTCCAAGTATTTGAATCAAACAGATAAGATTCAATTTGAATCCAAATAGTAATGGATAATTTTTATGTATAGCAATCTCAATAAAATCTTTTTTCAGGCCTACCTTCATTCTATGTTGTTTATAGATACATTTCAATGTTTTCCAACTTTCATCTCACCCCACCTTGTACCAATACTGACCCTACCAGCTCTACATGGAATGGGACAGGTATGGTTAAACCCAATTTGGGTTAAACAGAACCATTCTGAACCGGTCTCATTGGCATACTTATGCATTCGGGTATGTTTTTGTTCATGGTGCTCATGATAACATTGGGGACTTTTGATCCGAAGAAATAGGGATTTTGGTTTGGTAATAGGCAGGGGATAATGGACTATTAGGTGGCCCAGAAAGAGTCGTGGCCTAGTCCATTAACAGCCCTACCCAAGTTGAAAACTCGTAAAATTGTTCATTTTTTTTATAAATAACAAGGTATTTTATTGATTTCCATGAGAAAACCCAAAACTGTTCAGGCTAGACAATAGGGCCAATACAATTCAGCCACAAGCTTAGCAAATTAACAACATAAAAATTATGATAGGAAATTACAACAGAGCCCCAGGACCAGGCATTTCCCAAATACACCCTTGATTTGTTACACCAGATCTTGCGAAACTGTCACCTGTTGGCTAGGAAAACATAACATTATTCAGTTTTGAAGTCTGAAAACTCAACCTTCTTGACAAAATAGCAGGCCCATCCTACAAAACAGAAAAACCTAGATGGGTACAGAGCTGTTACTAAACAAAAGTGTTTCTTCTTGCACATGCCTTAGCTGAGTTATTGGTAACAGCATTAGTCTTAGGAATCCAAACCTGAATGTTGGAAAGGATTTCAGATATCTCAATCAAGTAGACTATTAACCTACCTGATTTAGAACCAGCTCTCCTAGCTCACAGTATAGCATTTGTTGAATTTTGATGATGCAACAAAGATTGCAGCTGCATTGTYTGGTTTGCTATCCCAACTTCATTTCAATAGATGAAGTTTCTTAGCCTCTAAATTGCTAACTTAAGACATTTGAGTAAGTCTCCTTATTAAAAGAAAGTTGAGAACTTAAAAATWAAAATTGATTGTATAGATTAGAGAATGACGGAGATTAATTGTAATAAGGGTGTATCTTASTATCAGACAGATTGATTGTTGTTGTGATGWGAATGAGTAAGGATATAGGGTATTCGTAAGAATTTATAAATATTAAATTTACCAAAATACCCTCTTAAACTTTGTTTGTGGTTGTTAAGATGGGTATTTTGATATTTTTAAAGTTTTTATAAAAGCTTCTTTATTGCTTAACAAAAATGCAACCCCCCCCCCAATTAGATGTTTGCAGTTGTTGGGGGGCATTTGAAGATTTATGAGGGAGGGGGGGAGGCGTTTAAGTCATTTAGGGATTGAYTCATGCCAAACCGTGTTAACATGTGTGCCTTATCCTTCAAGTAGCATGGCCCATTCTATACCTCTATATATTTATTATATATAAGAAAATAAAATATGATTATGCTTGTGAGCTTCACCAACCAAGCTTCAATGACCCAAATTTGACTTAAGCTTGATTTTAACAAAGTTGAACTAAAACCCAATAGCTCACATAAAGCTCAAATTGTTTTCACCTCTAGTAGGTGTTCGTATGAAATAGGCAAATTAGGTAAGCACAATGAATGAGTGAGCACCTAATAGCTGTGTGACACTTATCCCGGTGCTTTTCATCTAAATGTTTTTGTTCCGTTAAGTAACTAATAAGTAAAAAACGAAAAAGGGAAAATTGTAGAGGAGAAGAGACGTATCTGAATCAAAATTTTGGTATGAGCAACAATGCTGCAAGAGACTTTTAATCCGATCCGATCTGGGATTGTTAGCACTCGACCGGTGATGATTTTCTTGGATTTCTGTGGGAATAGCCACCAGTTCGAACAGCAGAGTTCACAGAAAAGGAGCTCGATTGATGATTAAAATGACAGAGCAACGGCAGTGGGGTGATAAAGAAAATCAGTCGCTCACAGGAGAAATGGTAGTTTTGAAGGTTAGTTGGCCAACCAGTCAATGTTTGAATATTATTAAATTCTATTASAGACCATTGGAATCCTCTCTCCAGTTCGTGTGAATGCAGCGCTACTGCTAATAATCTCATCTTAGATCGATGATAAAATAGAAAGAATGGCGTATGCTAAGATCGTTTCTCATCAACCCAATGGGGATGCATGCTATGTTACGTTGGATATTGATGAAGATCCCAGCAAGGAATTGGCTGTTTCTACCCTCAAAGATCTAGAACAGCTTACTGGTAAGTCTTCATCGTCCTATAGCTCATCTTGTTGTATTCATAGAGTGCCTGAGAAATTTCACAAAATAAATCAATATGCTTATGTGCCTGAGTTGATAGCTATCGGCCCTTATCACCATGGTAAAGAAAGCTTGCAAACCATGGAAGAGCGCAAAAGGGAATATGTCAAAGCACTTCTTCATCGAATATCAATAACACCAGAGTCAAATTTAAAAAGTTTACAGGAGTTTTTCAAAGTTTTATGTAGCTTAGAAAAACAAGTCCGCAAATCATACTCAGAAATCATCAACCTGAGCAGGAATGATTTCTTGAAAATGATGCTATTTGATGGTGTCTTCATAGTTGAGCTCTTTCTAAAGAGTGCAAGGGAAGTTAAAAGGGATGAGGATGACCCAATATTCAATACCAACTGGTTGTATGCTAGTCTGGTCCGTGACATGATATTACTTGAAAACCAACTTCCTCTGTTCGTTCTTGACAAGTTATTCAATAAAATAAAGTCGAACTTCCCCGGCCAATATGAAAATCAGTCTCTCACAAGGCTCGCCCTTCGTTTCATCAAGCCTTTAATTCCAAACGACCAACTACTACTTCGAAAGACTTCCAAATTTATAGGTAGCAAGCATTTGCTCGATCTGACATACAATGTGTTGTTAGATGAAGTGAAATATTCGCCATCAATGGCGATTCCACGAGAGAATCTCTTGCCCAGTGTAACAGGGCTCCAACGGGCTGGGGTCAAATTCAAGAAGGGTCATGAAGAAACAAGTTTCCTGGACATTAAATTCATTAAAGGGGTGTTGGAAATTCCACCATTACGTATTGAAGATCACTTCGAGGTTCTGCTGAGAAATCTAATTGCATGGGAGCAATGTTGTATCACCGAGGATTGCCCTTGTATATTCACATCCTATGCTTTCTTGATGGATAGCCTCATTAATACCACGTCAGATGTGGAACTTCTCTGTTGCCGTGACATTATCACCAATCTCTTGGGCGATGATAAAAACGTCTCTTCACTCTTTAATAATCTCTGCAAGGAGGTTACTCTTGTTAAGTTTTGTTATTCTGATATCTGCCACCCGATAAAAGATTATTGCAAGAATCGTTGGCATGTGTGGCTGCCGACTTTCGTACGAAACTTTTTCTACAGTTGATGAGTGATATTGAGGTTGTTGACTTGTTGTTGAAGACTTGAAGACACCAGTGAGATCAGTTCAGTTTGGTTCATCACGTGCGACAGGTTTGCATATGCTTTTATAGACTATTGTAATGAATAAGACTGGGTGGTGGTTAAGATGAAATGGATAGAATTTGAGTTAAATTGTTTTTACGTCTCTTGGTCGATGTATTACTTAGATTTGATCTATGCATTATTTTCATTTTTTTTATAATTTAGGAAAATCAATGCATTATTTTGTACTTTCACTAAACTCTACGTATTGCAACTTTAATTCTCGCTTTGTATTCTTTTTTGTTTCACTAAGAATCATTCATAAATTTACTCTTTATATTTACTTTAGGCTGTGTCTGGTTTGAAAGAGAAGCAGGCCTCTACAAACTTTTTTCTTCATTTCTTGATGAATCTTTTTGAACATAAACAAAAAAAAAAAGAAATTTATTAAGGGTTTGTTTGGTTTACAGTTAGAATCAGAATAGTCTATTCCCATAGTATATTTTTGGTTCAGACAGGAATGGGAATAGGAATGAGAATTGGAATTAGTAAGAATGAGATTTTGSGGGTGTTCTATTGCATAAATGAAAACACACCCCCCTCAACAAGGCAATTGATCTGCACCGTGGACAAAGATGTGTGGACTGAACCACACCACACCTTCGTAAGTGTTCCACAATGTTTGTTGCATTTCAGTCTACACCTTGTATTATGATTTCATGCACCTCAATTACAACATGGATTAACACAATGATATGACAGTAATTGGAAATTGAGAATGCTTCTCCCAAACTACAACTAATTTTACAATAGCAGGTGCATAAATTCTTACCAGGGGTGACGATAGTTGTAGCAACAGATAACGAGGGTAGGGTTACAAATCGATCGAATAATGATCTGATCCAATCTGATATCTAATCATATTTGGTCGAATTTGGATCACCCTTGTTTGGATCTTTGAGTCGAATAATAGGAYCTKATTAGAAATCGGATCGAATTCARKTCACCCCTATTTGATCTAAGAATTTTCAATCCAATATATAAGTTATATATTTTTTATATAAATATATAAAATACATATATATGTTATTCATTTATAAATATATTATTTATATTGTATTTTTGTAATTGTTATATTATTTATGTTTTATAAAAAACATGTATATATGTGATAAAAATAATTAAAAATACTTGTATTTTTTGTTTTTCTTTATTTCAATTGGAATAATTTTTTCTTTTAATAATTTATTATTTTTAAAGAAAACAAGTCGGACCGGATTATATCCAAATATCCGACTTCCCAATTGGATTTGAATTCAAATCCTTGCCTAGAAGATCCGATTGGACCAAATCTACAATGAACCATGTCGGATTGGATTTGGATATAACCCTGATTCGAATTGCATCTGATCCGTTTGCTTCCCTAACGATGGAAAATGGTGAACAATGGTGTGCTTCTACTCAACAACAAATTAGCAACAACAAGCCTTGTAATGAACAATGAAACTAAACGGTAAGAGGGAAATGTTGCACAAAAAAATAAAAACAAAATGACTGTGGAAAATGGAGATGAATCACTTAGATCTGACAGCCCAATGATGTAGTGGCGTTCAAAGTAGCAACAGTGCCTGACATGAGATAGAGAGGTAGTAGACACAATCTTCACATTGACAAGCCCTAAATGTAAAGGTAATATGTTGAGAATAGTGTGAAGCATGGGAAGACACATTATAGAGTAATCGAACCACTGGTTTTGGGGTGGCGTGTTTTGGAGATAAATGTCCACAGTAGCAATGGACTATCCATGAGAAATAACCGTGGACAATATTTTGCCTTGTGATGTAGACTAGTCCACAATATAGTGTGATTTGGTCTACACAACGCTGCAATTGAACCACTGGTTTTGTGGGGAGGCATGTTTGAAAATGCAATATCTCATGGTGCATCCACACCACCAAACTCCACCTTTATTCCCAAGGAAGGGGGTAGGGAATGGCTATTCCCTCAAATGGGGGAATACCATTCTAGCATATAGTAGTAGAAATGCTTTCTTGGGTTTTCAATGGTCAGAAAACCATCTAATCTCTGATCTGATTTCCTCTAGTATGAAAACAGAATTGCCACCGATTAGTAGATTGAATTCGAATCGAACCAGGCAATATTCGAATTCAAATCTAACTAAAAAATTCGATATATGATGGATATTCGCTTGAATTCAAATTCATCTAATTAATTGTTTTAAGTAATTAATATATATATAAAATAAATATTTTAGTTATACAAAGTATATAAATATATATAATATATATAATATATATAAATATATATAAATATATATAAATATATATAAATATATATAATATATTTATATATTTTAATTGTTATATATAATCAGTTGAATTTTGATATTTATCGGATTGAATCAAGTCATATCTGAATTTGACCGATTATGATATTTGAATTATCTAAATTCGATTTGATTTTATCTCTCAAATTCGAAATCAGATTTTCTAATATTGTTGACACCCCTACCGATCAGATGTTAGCGTTCATTTGCAATCATCATCTTCTTCATATCAGGCTGTATTAATCAAAAGAGTGTTAAACTAAGAATAGGTTTTAGTAAATCCATCACGCTAAAAAATGGAGACATGTCATCTACGTCATTTATTACAACTACTTAAAGACGGATCAATGCTGAAAACTCCAATCCAAATTAAATACTCACAATTAGGTGTGTCAATGGACTATTTTTGAATTTTATGCGTTCAAACTAAAACTAATTTGGATGGATTGGACAGACCAGCAAGACATGTTAAATTGGACCAGTCCAGACTTGATGATTCAAAATATATATTGGATTGGATTGGACCTAATTCATCTGTATTGAATTTATATTGGATTGGGTTAGATTGAGCCAATATCTGGTCAATTGGTAGAAGATAAGAATATAGGTGTCATGAATCAGGTTGAGGTTAGAATTGATCAAAATTGAAACAAATTTGAACAGATATAACAGTTCAGACATTGAATTGGACTGGACCAAAATGGTCCAAAACATTCATTGCATTATATAAATGGACTCATATTGGAATAGATGAGATTGGACCAAATCTAATCCAATTGAGACCCCAAAAAACTGTCCTAATGCTGTGTTTAGTTTGACGAATCTCTTTGGAAAATTACAGTTAGTTAGGGGGGAGTTGGGGAAATTGAGGAAAAATTCTTGKGAAATTACTCAAGAACTTTCTTTCCATTTTCACACAGCCAAAGAAGTAAAATGTGTGAAAAGAAGGCTTGATAGTTTGACATCATTCATTTCCTTTGGATTATTGATCTCTTGCTCTTTGTAACT